CTCCCCCCTGTTCACTGCAGCATAACTCGATCTTCCTCCAGTCTGGCCAGCAACGGCAGCCGCGTGTCCCGTCTCACTCTCTCTCTTTCTCACTCTTCAGCTCCCATCCTCCGTGTTTCGCGCCGGGGACCGGCTAACTCGAGGCCCCCTCGAGTTAGCCGGCGGGCATCATGGTGGCTACACCGCTGGCTTCTCTCGCCGGCTCCTCTCCGAGTGGCGCATAACGAGAAAGACGGAGAGAGAGAGGGATCGCTGCGCCATCTCCCTCCTCGCCTCGGCCTCCACCCCCCGAGGGTCAAGGAACTCCCTCGGGAACAGGTTCACCTACCTCCCGCCCCGCCGTCCCACCATCGGCGAGGTCCGAGGAGCTTCCACCTCTCTCCGGAGCTTCCACCTTGGGCCGCCCTATGCCCCCTCCGGGTTCGTACCTTAGGGTTTCAGCTTGATTTTCTCTTATTAAACCCGCTGCCGAGCATGTGGCCACGCTTAACGCTCGCGAGCCTGTACACGTTCAGGGCAGAGCGGAGCCGAAAGTGTGTGTGTGTGGGTACGCAAGCGTCAGCGAATCGCGAGTCTGTGTACAGGGGACGTTGGTCCATCTCAGGGGCCCGTCAGCCTCTCCCCCTCCACTGGCCGTGCCATCTTCCTCCTGGTTCATCCCCCTACTCCCCTCAGGCTGTTTTCTCTCTTAGGGCCTCCTTAGGTACTCCAATATGTGAGCACATTATTACAGCAACAGAGGCAGCCTGCCTTCGCCTCTCGCTCCACTTCTCCTTAGCCACGGGCGAAACCGGGGGTAGGGCCCCGAGGGGCACCTCGGGCGAGGGGTTTTCGAGGCGAAACGCGAAGCAACGCGCGCGCTCCTGGAGGCACCGGAGAAAGCCGCGGTATCGTAGCTGAAGGGTGTTCGGCTGAAGCCGTTCCCGATGAGCAACCATCCCTCTCCACCTCTTGCTTACTTCCTTTGGCAACCCCTCCTCCCTTGCCTTTCCTCTCTCGATCGTTGGCATCTCCGCGTTCACGCTCCTCGTTCTTCTTGGCTCGCCTTCTTCCTTGCCCCCTCCGGTCTTTTCGCTCCCCCCTCGTTCCCCGTGGTCCCCGCGGCTGTTCCGCCGACCGAGTCTCCTCTCTCTGCCGGCCGGGCCCGGGGAGAAGTCGGATATACCAGATTCCACCTGTGCCCGGCTGATATCTCTTGCGCGGCCCCGCCGGCCCTCTCCTTCACTCTTTCTCCGTCTTGCGGCTGCCGTGCCGCGGGATCAGGCCGCCTTGCCTCTTCCTCCTCCGCCTCTCCCCGCCGCGTCTTCTTTACCC